GAAACGAGAGGTGACCTATCAGAACGTAAGAGGCCTGGGGGGAACGTGCTGGTATGCGTGGCAGAACCGTGGTGCGCCGTGTAGCCTCCGGCACTCCACGGCAACTTCTTCCTACGGCCCAGCACGGATTCCGTAGAAGACCGTAGAAGACCGCAAAAGAACTTGTCAAGACTTGGATATAGAGGGGAAAATAACCAAAATCTCACGGCGCACTACGTTTCGGGCAAACGGGAACATAGTGTAAACGTAGCATAAATGAAATATCAAATTCCTTTATATCCAGTTTATGATTATAATTAAGCTTATCCATAGGCTTTTCACCAATGAAACCTGCGAGTGTATTGCAGATTTCTAACATCTTCAACCAAGTGTTACGGAATTTATTATTCACTATCCCAGCAAACTTTCTAGGAGTAAAAACTATTATTTCTAAATGGCTGCCTTTAGTCTTCAATCTCGTTTTAATGTCATCATTTGAGACTTTAATTCTTGAACATCTGACATGACTGTCTTCAACATTTCATGTTGTTCGTGTTGATCCTTGACAAACTTTTCTATGATAGCTTTTATTGCATCTTCCCCTTCCTCTTTCAGAGCCAGTTTCTGAATCCCTTTAAGACCATCCAAGTACTTTTTACCAGTGAACATTTCCAGTCTTTGGCAGATATCTGACATCGTCGACCAGGTGTCATCAAATTCTGTCTGAGAGATGGAGGCTGAACTGACATGTGCAGTCAATCTATTTCGTATTGACCTAATTCTCTCGATATCATCACCCACTCTCACCTCTCCTGCTGCTGGCTCTTCTCCCCATTTTCCTTTTGTTGGTTTAGGAATCTTTGAACAAATGTTTCTTATCAACTTGTATGTTAATGAAATATCAAATTCCTCATATCCTGATATTTTTGCTTTTTTCAATTGTTTTTCTTGATTTGCGTTTAGATTCAGGCTCTTCGACTTTTTGTTTGATAATAAATCCACCTTGTTCTCAATATCAGATGCAGGAATTTCTGATTCTAGAATATCTCTGTATGCCTTATTCAACACATCATTTGTAGCCATACCAAGTTTTGCAAATCTAGACCGGCCTTCTAGGTTTTGTCCAGAGGCCACATGAGTACTGGAATCACTCGACTCCCTCTGAAACAAAATAAACCATAGCTATTATAATGAACCAATCTTAACCTCAAAACTAAGTCCTGGAAATAGCCAACTTTGTCTGAAGCAAATACAATCTTAGTACATCTAATGGAGCCAACTTAGGAAAAAACATTATAAACCAAGATTAAAATTTATAAGATGATTCCCCATATGGTAAGCAAAGCTAAACCCTAATGCAGGTACAGTTTGTTTTCCTAGGTGATTATAACAAAGGACCCTGTTGTAGGTAAGTAAGGAAAATTAGGATAAAAACAATTTTAATTTACCATTAGATAACATTGAGTTGGTGACATCACATCAATTTGGAAAATTAGGATTAACGTGAAATAAAAGATTTATCTAGAGAGAAACATAATGTACTCATCGGAGCTTCTAACACCCCGGTACCCGAACCACGAGACAATGGATAGTTAATTGCACAATTTTGGTAAAAGATTAAAAATCCATTAACCTCTTGCAAAACAGTTCATCTACTCTGCACTGGTCTGAAAGAAACTTGGTGCTTTGATCAAGGTCATGACACATTTTGAGATTATAAGCAATATTAGTTTGAAGCATACAGATATACCTAACTACATTTCTTCATTCCATTTTGAATTTCCAATTATTTATACAGATATACCTAACTACATTTCTTCATTTCATTTTGAGTTTCCAATTATTTTTTCAGGTAAACATCATATTACCTTAAATAAGTTCAAATCATGACACATTATTGGGTCGTAAGAAATCGTTGAGTCAAATAATGGTCCATTTTACAAGATATGGTTACACTGATTTTCTCTAAAAAAATTATTCCTGAAAGTTCTTGAACTTGACCAAATGACCTTGCATTTAGATCAATACATTCCTGATAGAATGCTCTGTGTAAAATATAAACTTCAAAAGTCTATCTCTTTAATATTTTTTCATTCATTGATCTTTTATATGGTCAAAATCAGTAGGATTCCTCAGCTTGTAAACAATATATGTGCCAGTGTTTTTTTCCTACAGAGTTATTGGCTGGACTTAAATATACATATATACGAGGGTTGATCCAAAAGTAATGTCACTATGTCCATATCTTTGGTATCTGGCGTCATATTGTCAAATAAAGTATACCGAAATATGCACATTTGAAAATTTAATTAAAATTGAAATTTTGGTTTAATAATATTAAATAAAACTTTTTTTATAGATGTTTAAAAGGTGAGACGTAGGGATGCCGCCGCGTCATAACGTTACGTCTAATTTTGAACTTTATTTTCTAAAGAATAAAAAGATAAACACATAATAAAAAATTTTTAAAACGCGCCAAATTGCCCGTTTTTTCGTTAATAAAAACTTACGTCATTTTCCAGTCTTCAGTTAAAAATTAAATGACGTCATTGCCATTTTGGATGATTTACACAGTGTTTTATTCCGATGATTTGAACGAAAGAAATCCCAGAAATGGAAAAAATGCCGCAACGAGCTGTTATGCATTTCTGTTACAAAATGGGGAAATCGCCACTAGAGACTGTTTCTTTCATAAATGATACTTATACTGAAAAGAAGGTCAATAGGAGACTTGTTTATCGGTGGTTCCAGCGTTTTCGGGAGGGAGATGGGTCATTAAATGACCAACAGAGGACAGGAAGACCAAAGGATGGACGGTCAGATGGAAATGTTCAACTTGTTTCTGACGTTGTGAAAGAAGACAGGCGTGTGACAATAAGAGCGATAAGCGAGACTTTGAATTTGTCCTATGGCACTGTGCAAAGAATTTTGACGGAGGACTTATCTATGAAAAGAGTAAATGCACGATGGGTTCCAAGACTTCTTAAAGAAAATGAAATGAGTGCACGTGTTCGTGAATCCGAGAGATTTTTACGGCGATGGAGAAAAGAAGGAGAAGCATTCCTCAGGCGCATCATTACGGTGGATGAAACCTGGGTATATCTTTATGACCCTGAGTCTAAATTACAGTCAAGCCAGTGGAAAAGCACGGATTCACCACCTCCTAAGAAAGCTCGGGTTTCCAGAACCACCAAGAAGCACATGTTTGTTGTTTTCTTTGATATGGATGGTGTTGTGCTTAGCCATGCTGTGCCACAAGGACAAGCGATCAATGCCTCGTATTATTCAAAGGTAATTGACAAATTAATTAATTAATAATTATCATTAAAAATTAAAAGCCGTAACAAGTAATCAAAATTTATGTATCTAATTCACGAACGATTATTAAAAATAATTATATAATAAAAAATTAATAAAGAAATAATCATTTCTTAAAACAGACTTTCAAATTCAGAAAAAAAACATTATTTTCTTTTCATAAAAAAATTCACGCTTAATTTGTTTTCCAGGTTTTATCCAGAGATCTTATGACTGCACTGAGAAAGAAAAGGAAACATATATATGACAACCTTAGTAACTGCATCATCCATCATGATAATGCAACACCGCACACGGCAATGGAAACTGTAGTAACAATTGAGCTCCTTGGAATGGAGAAATTGCCTCACCCCCCTTATAGCCCAGATCTAGCTCCGTTTGATTTTGCGCTATTTCCGCATCTGATAAATCAGCTCCGAGGGACCCACTTCGAGAACCTTCAGCACTTGAGACAGGCATGTAACGAGGTATTTTCTCTACTACCCAAATAATGGTTTGCAGACGTTTTCCAGAAATGGGTTAGGAGACATCAGCGTTGTGTAGAGCACCAAGGCCGTTACTTTGAAAAGGAATAATTTTACGTTCAGGTGTGTGACGGCGCGTATCTGTTATTTGACGTCATTGAGGTTGCGGCGACTACCACAAATGAACTTTGTATATAATCCAATATTTTTAAAAGTATATATCATGTTGAACTGAAATTTTCAGATCTAATTTGAAATAAATATAGCTTCCATCCTTGCTTAATTTTGTTGCTTTACGCCGATTATTTTAAATTTTATCGCAGTTGTGACATCGCAGTTATGATAAGGCTGTCCGAAGGCTTAAAATGTCTTAAAAATATACATTTTATTTTGAGCTTGATTTAAAATTAATATGTGATCCTTGTTTGAAATTGCAGTTAACTTGAGATAATAGTTTAATCAGGTATTATAATAAAGCGTTTCTTTGATGTCAGATGACTGTGTTGATCACGTGACGGACATTTTTGATATTCTTATATGTTGCACAAAAATCACCTCGACACAAGTGCAAAACGAAAATATTGTGCAAAGTTTGTTACATAGATCATTTCATCGTGATCCCTGGTACATAAAAAGTGCTGGGGGCAGGTTTCATTTTTACTTCTTAAGAAAATATTTTACGAAAATTAAAATTACCAACGTAAGAAGGGGTATTTTCCAGTCTTTATTGCGATGTGTACAAAAACGGATAAACTACACACGATCCCCAGCAAAATTCAGTTAGAAGACATAGTTCTCTTTAAGATTCACGCAGAATATCTTCAATTTATCCTTGTCTTTCACTTGTGCCAGTCCAGTATAAACACGATTCATAAATTCTAACTTTGTCTACGGAAGTGTAAGGGGAGCGTTTCAAACATAATCTTTTGCTATTGCTTGAATATATGCATATCGGACAAGCAAAAGGAATGGAGATATTTAAATATCAAATGTTAAACATTATAACAGCACATACGAGCATAAAAAAACGACTCTTACTCTTAAACACAAATCCCCATAATAAATTTACATGCCGTGTAATAGTTATGACACTTTCCCCGTCATGTCAGCACAAGTATGTAGTGACTTGACGTCATATTCTATTATGACGTCATATCTAGGTAGTTCAGAGAAGTTACTACAGTTTGAACAGTTTGATATTTTACGGGCAGCCTTATCCTAGCTGCGATTACTTTTGGATCAACCCTCGTACTAACAGACAGGCAGACAATATAAGTCCTAAAAATCAATTTCTCGATTTTTCTTTGACAGGGAGTATAAAGATTATTAAGTATAACTGTTACCTTTTCCCAGAATCCCTGTGTCGTCTGTACATTTATCACATGTTTCTGCTGAAGTTGACACTTGCACTGAATTTCTTTAGCCTTGATTTTGGACAGCTCACTTGAAACGGTAAAAGATAGATCTTTCTCATTACAAATAATGTTTTGACATTTGAATCCTCTGAGGAATATATTTGTGCCAATAAATGTTTCTGTCAATTTTTCTATTCCTTTATCAATGGAGTTTCCAATTTCATTTGATACACCTTTCTCTACAGTCAATGGTTTGATTCTCAACACCTGCAACTGAATATCATCATTACATATACCAACAACAACAGTGTGTTCATTGTGATCAAACACTGCCGCCGTTTGATAAAGACATAGACTTCCTTCATGATCTCCATCATTTGAAACATTCCATCTTAAAAACCCCATGCAATATGCTACTAGTCTGTAGAACACAAAAATGGCAAAAGATGTGAATCGATAGCACAAAATGGAGGAGCATTCCCATATATCTTCACTGAAGTCAGCTTTAAACTGCTTTTTGTTCATACACGGGACATACCATGACAAGCTACCTACTGATACAGCCTCAAATGCATTCAAATGTACCAGCATTTGAAGTTTCTCCATGTATGGCATAATTTCATTTTTATGTTTCAAGTAAGAGGGTTCATCTTTCCACAAAGCATCTATTACTGTTTCTTTGAGTTCCCCTGTTTTGTTGAAGGATTTCCACTCTTTGATTAATTTTGTTTGACAATCTTTATTGATGTGGTTTTCATCAGCAATTATTTTACTGAAAGCATTAGCAAACCACTGAATGTCTAGTATTACATATTCCCTCAATTCCACTTCTTCAAAATTCAAAAGAAGGCCACTGTCATGAAAACATTTTAAAAATTTTGACATTTCTTCATCACTTTTGATTTGGTATTCATGGGGAAGAGATGAGTTGAGCTTCCAGATTTCACTCAGGGTCAAAACCTTCCAGTCTCCTTCATATAATAATTGCTCCATTAGAGCCCACGAAGAAGGCAATTGAACTTTTGTATTGTTCTCATCTGTAAATAGTTCCACTATGGACTTTTTCATTGATTCCAGCATTTCCTTGGTATCATCATTAAGTTCCTTTAGACCTACTGCATATTCCCGATCATTCAGAGACTCACTTAAGCAATCTCTGTCCTCGTCTGGTACAGCATTCCAGAACTCCCTAAGATACTTTTTTATTTCCTGAAGATAAAAACAAAGCAAACATGAAAATATTTTAAAAACATAACTGTGCACTAAAATCATAATAATATAATGCTATAGATCTTTGAGAAATCTGGAGTAACAGGTATCTCAGGAGTAAAATTGGTACAAAATCTAATTGATTAAAGATAAAACTGCAGATTTGGTATCCCTTATAGTATATTTTGTCACTTTGGATGTAAAGCAGTAAATAGATAGCTACTGTGAATTAAAGGTTTCTAAAGAACTTTTGTATGATATGTGTTTAGTATGTGCTCTCATACAGAACACTTTTAAAAACTTAAAATCTATTTAAATGATTTTTAATCCACAATAAAAGCATAAACAAGAGGCCCATGGGCCATATCGCTCACCTGTGCAATGTGGCCAGAAAAAAAAGCAGAAATCAGTTTCTTATTGAAAACTTTAAACCTAATAGTGGTCCCAACCAATCCTTAAAAAACTGAGAGGGTATGATTTGAACAAACTTGAATCTACACTAGCTAAGGATGCTTGCATATTTTTTTGACTATTTGTGGCTTTATTGCCCTTTACATTTGAACTTACACTGTGGCCCTGCCCTAACCCCCAGGGGCCATGACTTGAGCAAAATTGAATCTACACTACCTGAGAATATTTCCATATGAATTGGACTAGTCATGGCTTTGCTATTCTTGAAAAGAAGATTTTTAAATATTTTTTCTACATGTTTCTATGTAAAACTTTTATTCCATGTTGTGACACCGCCCTACCCCATGGGTCATGATTTGAACAAAATTGAATGTCCACTACCTGAGGTCAAGGTTACATATAAGTATGATCATCCATGCCTCTTCTATTCTTGAGAAGATTTTTTATTGAATTTCTCTTTATATTTCTATGTAAAACTTTGATTGGTCATTGTGGCTCGCCCTATCCCCAGGGGTCATGATCTGAATAAATCTGAATCTACACTACCTGAGGATGCTTCCCTATAAGTTTCATCTTTCTTGACACAGTGGTTCTTGAGAGGAAGATTTTTAAAGATTTTCCCTATATATTTCTATATTAAACTTTATCAGCCATTGTGGCCCTGCTCTTCCCCCGGGGGTTATGATTTGAATAAATCTAAATCTAAACACTACCTGAGGATGATTCCCTATAAGTTTTATCTTTCCTGGTGTAGTGTTTATTGAGAAGAAGATTTTTAAAACATGCCAGGCCATCAGCCTTCTGCTCAGGTGAGCTAAAAAACCTTCATTTTGACAACCTGGTTAATAATTGCATGGTTAAACCCCCTGTTATTTTTCATAGGGACAAAGCTTGAATCCACCTGGAACTACATATTTATAGTTTTATGTGTTTTTCAAATCTTGTTTTTTGAAGGTCATATGAAACAATGTCCTGAGCACTTTGGGTTGTATACGGAAATGAGTTCATCTGAGGAATATGAATGAGCTTGAAATTACATTTGGATTTTTGTTTGGATACTTTACTGAAAAAAATGAATTTCAATTTGTGCAGCTTATTTGGATTTATGACATCAGTTAGACCCAGTGTCACATTTACGATGTTTTTTTTCTATTTGTATTTAAAATTTACTGTGATATTTGTTCTAACGTTGTTCCTTAGTTTCTTTCAGTTTTTCCATTCTGGACCCCTTCGAACACCCTCTGTGGTACCTCTACATTACCTGTATTTATTCACCTGAGTTTAGGCTTTCGCCCTTCTTAAAACCAGCTTTCCAAGATGTAACAGAACGAGCTCTGATTGTCCAATTTTACTGTTAAGATTTGTAAAGTTAAAGTACTGAGTATTGTATATCGTTAATACAGACACTGACTTCTGAGGTGAGTAACATGTTTTATTTACATTTTTTTCCTCTCTGTTTTGTTAAACAGTCCTGAGATAACTTTGTTATTTCCACGTATTTCAATTTTAATTTATTCGTTTGTATAGTTTGTATGTTCTATAAATATCATAGTGAATAGTGTTAATTGATAGTATCGGCTCTAGTATTGTAGTATATAGTTTCATTATGATTCTAAACCGTAAAGTAACTATGTAAGTGACGTTACTGTGTGTAAGTGTAAGTTACATGTAGAATAATGTAATTATTGTGTAAAAGCATTTAATTCAAGTTCTGTAAAGCAGCGATGTGATGTTGACCCCCTTATTATCCCATTTTCATGTATGGTGGGTTATGTTGGTAATTACTTGTATGTAGATTTGAGTTTTTAACTGTGTAACTTAATGTGTTTGCAATTTTGTGTTATGTAGGTCCCGTTATACGTCCTCCGTTCCAGGTTACATGTCCTACGTTACGTCTTGTGTTTGGTGTTGTATTGTGTGTGGTGTAACGGTGATGGTTCCTGTGGATCCGGAATATATACTATGTACAGTTGTTGTAATCTAGATAAATGTGAAAACGCTTGTGACTTTTGTTATTAATTATAATAAGGACGAACCCGCAACACCCAGTCGCCTTGATCCACACATTGCATCCTTGCTTTTCAAAAATATTTGATTAATACCAAGGAGCATATTTCGAACAATTCATCCAGTTTCAGTATATAAGTACAGCCCCCCCCCCTTTTATGGTACCCCTGAGCCTGGGGCCTTGAAATTCACAATTCTGGAAGATTAGTACTCTTGCTCATCATAACTATATAGGTAGTTCATCTGCTTAATACCAAGGAGCAGAGAAGAAAACTTTCAAAGATTCAATGTATTTTCATCATAAAATCAATAGAGCCCCGCCCTATCACTAGAACCCCTGACCCTAGGGCCAAAAAATTCACAATTTTAGAAGAGGTTACCTTGCTCATCATAACTATGTTATTAGTATATTTCATTCCTAGGAGCAGAGAAGAAGATTTTCAAAGAATTCATGTAATTTCACTATATAATCTATAGACCCCCCCCCCCTACACCAGAACCCCTGACCCTGGGGCCATCAAATTCACAATTTTGGTAGAGGTTCTCTTGCTCATCATAACTATGCATTTAGTTAGTTATTTAATATCCAGGAGCAGAGAAGAAGATTTTCAAAGAATTCATGAATTTTCACTATATAATCTGTAGAGCCCCCCCCCCCCCCACCCTTACACCAGGACCCCTGACCCTGGGGTCATAAAATTCACAATTTTTGTAGAGACACTCTTGCTCATCATAACTATGCACTTAGTTCGTTTATTTAATACCCAAGAGCAGAGAAGAAGGTTTTCAAAGAATTCATGTAATTTCACTTATATTATCTATAGACCCCCCCCCCTACACCAGAACCCCTGACCCTGGGGCCATAAAATTCACAATTTTGATAGAGGTACTCTTGCTCATCATAACTATGCATTTAGTTAGTTTATTTAATATCCAGGAGCAGGGAAGAAGATTTTCAAAGAATTCATGAATTTTCACTATATGATCTATAGAGCCCCCCTCTCCTTACACCAGAACCCCTGACCCTGGGGGCCATAAAATTTACAATTTTGGTAGAGGCACTATTGCTCATCATAACTATCCACTTAGGTAATTAACTTAATACCCAGGAGCAGAGAAGAAGATTTTCAAAGAATTCATGTAATTTTACTATATTATCTATACACCCCCCCTACACCAGAACCCCTGACCCTGGAGCCATGAAATACACAATTTTGGTAGAAATACTCTTGCTCATCATAACTATGCACTTAAGTAGTTTATTTAATACCCAGGAGCAGGGAAGAAGATTTTCAAAGAATTCATGAATTTTCACTATTATAATCTATAGAGCCCCACCCTTACACCAGAACCCTTGACCCTGGGGCCATAAAATTCACAATTTTTGTACTTAGTAGGTTTATTTAATACCCAGGAGCAGAGAAGAATATTTTCAAAGAAATAATGCATTTTCACAATATACTTATTTGGCCCCGCCCTAGCACTAGAACCCATGACCCCGGGGCTATGAATTTCACAATTTTGGTAGAGGACTCAATGCTGATTACAATCATGCAAACAGTTTGACAGCTTGATGTCCAGGAGTAAAGTAGAAGATTTTTAAAGATTGCACTAATTTTAGTGGTTTTTGCCCCACCCCCAGGCCCCAGGGGGGCAGGGACAATGAAATTCACAATTTTTGTTCCCCTTCACCCATAGATGCTATATGCCAAATTTGGTTGAAATTGGTTCAGTGGTTTCAGAGAAGAAGCTGAAAATGTTCAAATGTTAACGCACGACGAACTACGACGGACGAAAAGTGATAGCAATAGGTCACCTGAGTTTTCTCAGGTGACCTAAAAACATGTATGACGTATACGTATCAAATAAAAATATGAAGATTTTTGTTTATAAAATATTAATTTTAAAAAAGTAATCATAATAGGAAGAGAAAAATCTTGATTTCAAAAGGGTTTTCACCAGGATCATCCTGCTATGAAACATTCTATATTTAAAGGTCGCGTCATCTGGTTTATACATTGACTATGAAAAAGCTCTTGTTTTCAGTTACTGTGTCTAATCAACGATTGGTTCAAATAGAGTAAACTTTACTTTAGAATCGGATAGTTCATCTAAAAACAAAATTACGTTTATATCCAAAAAAAAAAAGATTCAAATCAAATCAATAAAATACGGCAAAATTACACTAGATCTAATGTGTTACATATTTACATCAATGGGTCTTTATGAGGTCATAAAACACAAAATCAAGAACGATAAGGGGGCAACAAATTTATCAAGTAGACAAGTTTTGGCCTTCATTTGTCTCTTTAGCAAAGGCAAATATATTATACCAAACGTAATTTGACGTTTTTTTCATTTTCAAGGAAATTTCTATGTTTAGTAATTGCAGCTTCACCATTCTTCAAAATCAAAAATCTATATGCAGATTTATGTATCTTAGTGAAGTCAAATTATGTGCCAAGTTATATTGAAATAGACCAAAAGTGTAGAAGGAGTAGCATTTTGAATGTTTTTCACAGGAGTTTCTATTTTAAGTAACCACGGCAACACTGTTCAACGAAATCAAAAACCGATAACAG